TAGCTCGTTTCCGACGAACATGATTTTCATTTTCAGAGTTTTGTCTCAGTTATTCCGGTGAAGTAGATGTTAAAATGGTAACCTTATAGCAATTTCAAATAGGTTTTATCGAAAAGCAATTATGATCTTGCCTTAACGTTAAAAAAGGAGAAGTATTATAGCATGAACCTCTACGAAAGGGCTCGGTAAAAGATGCTCTGATAATTTTATAATTTATAATGTATGATTCAGCTGTACGCTTAAGCAACATATCCTACTGCTATCCATCACCGCTGCTTGATGATCATCTGACAACAGCTTCTGCTCCAAGGAGAAAAACCTAAAACTATCAGGTATTGATCGCCGTCAGCGTCGTTTAAATTCATCGTTAACGAGCAATTCGAACTCCAAATCCTCCTGTTGGCCGCATGGCGTTAAGTTTGCGGCAACGGGGAAGAGGCTCGAGCGGCCTTGCAGGCTCTGTCTGCAGTTCAAGCTTCGTTAGTACTGCGAAACAGAAACGGTGGCGGCAAGCTCAAAGCAACTCGGATCATTTGCTGGTTGCCTATGTAAATTGTTTTTTATAATCCGTGACTGCGTACCACGCCAACATGGCTTTTTTTTAGTGGCTAAAGGGTTCTACCTGAAATCGAATTCAATAACTTCATTGAGATAAAATGTCATTCGAAAAGAAGGCCACATAATGACAGAGCAGCGCGTGACAATGAGTTACTTAGTGGTTGTTGATACCATTTTGTCCAATGTGGAAAGAGCAACGAATACAGGGACCGTTTCGTATGCTGCGAATGTCATTGGGTTGGCAAGCCCAGACAAACTTTATACTTGAACACATGCCCAGTTTATTAGCCACAGGCATCGGCTAGACCGAAGCAATACAACAGATTAGCAAGATCGGCTGTCAGATTGTCGTCTGTTCTATATCTCGACATATATATGTGTATATATCTCAAAATGGTTAATTGCTCCTGGTGAAAGGGGAAAGCACTGACTTACACTTGGTCAAATCGTTGATTAAAGATCGTGTCTGTAGTAAATGCCTTATACACACAGCCCTATGCATAGGCAGCTGAATATAGAATCGATGGCTCGACCAACAAGAAAGCGTTTGGATCACTGCGTTCAAACTATTATCTTGAAGAAAAACTGTTTTTTCTTATAATAAAGACATTAACTTAGTTAATAACAACTTGACCCGTGTTGAATGACAACTGATTCAGTAATGGAAAGAACTGAAAAACTACTAATGCCAATTGTCGGCGGTCACGTTTAAAGTTAATGCACGGTCGCGTTTTCGTACTGCAATGCTTTGCGGGTAAGTCGTTGTCCATATTGATTGTATTTTCTTCAAGAAGGGATCTCGAAATTAGGTCCATATCAATATGGAAAAATGTAAGCATATACATGCTATAAGATTATCGTGTCTGCCTTTGTCCATCGAATGTTGTCTACAAATAAATGAATTACCACAGCGGGTGTCTTAAAGGGGGGCGACTGCGCCCGGGTGAAAAATGTAGCAACACTAAAAAGGATAGCCTTGAAGTTTTTCGAACGAGAAAAGATATAGTAAAAACGGCTTACATTTTTGTTTCTTTTTTTGCGCTCATACTCCACGAAGCAACTGCACCTTGTGATCTTCCCTATGACAATTATGTTTTTGTTGTTTTCAAAGGCAGTAACGTTCAGATTATCAGTTACTACGACGATAACCAATATTATGCGTCCTTCAATTTACAGAACTCTTCATCTAGTTGGAAACCTGGCCAAGCTTTGCCATATGTACAATAGTCTTATCCTGAAAAATACTGTTTTGTAGAATGAGGTCGGCCTCTGCCCGTTTTTTTGTTATCCCATCCAATTAACGCAAAACAAATAGATGACAAAGAATTTCTATTTTCTCAATACTTCCTAGAGTTATTGTTGCCCCGAGTAGATGTTAGAGAGCCGTGAACAAACGCACAGCTTTTCTGAAGCGTCCAGGTTTTCTACAAAACCCAACCTATTGGCTTGTGCTCGCGTAGTTGCCTCGTAGCAGCAGTAGACTCGAAACTCCAGTCTGTCTTGCTTCTACTAAGGAGACTTAACTGACATAGCAAACATTTTTAATTATTCGTTGAAGTTTTTAATCAGGTCAACAGTTCGGTCTAAAAATATATCGACCTTGTATGGCAGGCTTCGTAACACGTTAAAAAAGCGTGAGGCATGCGGAAAGGGCTCCTATTAACAATTAGGTCGTTCGCCAACGTTGAGTTGAGTTTATGGAATGACATTCGGTCACAATGTCTATATGAGCGAACAATCATCTTTTTTTACATAATCCGGACGATTCTACGATGCTCAAACGACCTTTAGGGTCGCGTATAATTACGACAATCTAACGAGCGATATATTTCATTCGTATATCCAATAGAAAATAAAAAGGCATGGCTTGAAGGCGGAACCAGATGCGGAAGTATGAACCGAAGCCTCTGTCCACGAACCGAAGGTCTAGAGGAAAGCAGACGACCTTAACAATGATCAGCGAAGTCGCTCTCGGTTCTAATCTATAGCCCCCAAGAATTAGAGTAAGGCATGCCTCCATATATCAGATTCACATTTCGTGCACCTCATGTATTTCGGGTACATCAAAAAACGACGACACCTTAAGGCCAGTTCGGCTTAGACTAACGTTCCAATTTAACTGAATATTATGTTAGCGCGCTCTTATTTTGTACGCGACACGTAGAGGACAATACGAGTAAAGTCAATCCGATAATTGCTCGTGTTCTGACTGTCCCCTTATTAAAATGATGTTCTCTGTTTCAACGTCCGTTTGAAATGATTCATGAGTGAGGGCTTTGAGTGAATAATAATAAGCATTGGATTCTTATAAAAAAAAATGGCTTATGACAAGCAGAGAGCTCGCAAAAGCGTTCTGCACTGCTTGACACGCACATGGAACGTGCGTTCAAGCGGCTCTAAAACGTAATGTCTAATTAGGTTGCACACTACCTAAATTTACTACTACTACTAAATTTACTAAATAAAATAAATTTAAAAATTAAGCGGACTACTTTTTTTTGACGCATATTTTAAGGTTTCAGCAATGAAAAATGAAAGCTTTTGTGCACACCGGATATTATCTACATTCAAAAATTAAAAATCATATGTATATATTGTATCGCACCGTTAAGCGGAACAGTATAAATACGAATCTACTAAATATCACGAGAATATACGAATATTTATAATGTTTCTTTTAATCCCCTTCCCCCTGTCTTATTGAGGACTATTTGGCGTAGCTTCCCTACACGAGAGCGGCTCAGGATCCTGGCGAATAAAGTAGGTTCGCCCATCTATAATTCCTCCTTTAAGCTTCCGATGGCTGAAACGTAGTAATCTCGTCGAACGGCACCTGTCAATGTCCGCATTTCGTGCCGCATCGTCAGCTGGCTTCTCCTTGCGGCTGCATCAGGCCGTCTATGTCTTTGACCCTGTCTGCCTGTACATAGGACACCATATGTGCTAAGCTTCAAGCGAATGTGGTAACGTTCTTAGCCGCTCAGACGCGTTAATATCCCTCTATTATATGTTGTATTATTATTTATACGCTGCTATCAGCTATAAGCACGGTCGTTGAGGCAAAACGACCTGTACTCCGCCTCCTGAGCCCCTTTTGGGCAATTCCATTTGCTCAAGCATTGCGGTGCTTTGGGCCAGCCTGGGTCTCGTAGCACTTGCACACGGACAGGATTGACCGTACTCCCATATACCGGTACAAACACGCGCTAGGCGACCGAATCCGACAACGCAGTACGCTGGATGGGTATAATGCATGGATAGATGTATATATCGCTCTAAATATCATTCTCCGAAAGGTTCAATCCAACTGTCCCTACGCGGGGTGGATATAGCAGGGTAAGGGGCCAAGGAGAGACACAGATGAGATCGCGGCAAGGCATTTTTATCCTGACTGCTGCGACTACCGCGTCCGGCTCTGCTAGTGGCGAAGTCGGCAAGGAACGACCCTACCTTTATTCTTGCCAGGATATTCGTGGCAGGACGATCAAAGCAAGCCATACCGCATCCGATGCGACTCAATAGTCCGACGATAGACGGCAAAGACATCGGTGATGCTCTGTGCGGGGTTCCTGAACAGCAAAGCTGGGAAACAGAGAACGGACAAAAAACAAGAGCCACTTTTGTATTAGCCTGCCTGAATCTCGAAGCTTGTATCTCTATGTGTATGGGTGTGTATGTGTTTGTCTTTGTTCCTTGAAAGGAAAGGAGGCGGAGGGTCTTGGCCCAGTCCGGCCAATCGCTGCACGAGCCGCAATGGGCGGAGCCTGAGTATCGCTGTGAGTATGCTGATATTATCGGCATATGATGGCGAGGCGCTCAGTCGTGAACGGCATTAGCGCATCAGCTATCAGTCAGTCGTGAGCATCTTCATCTAGAGAGGACTTAAAATCTGTGCTTAGTTTCCTGATTCCATCAAAATCCTCCCTTCTACATCAAGCACGGGTAGTAACACCACTGTTGTTACCGCTGCTACTTCGACTAGCAGCAATAGTGGTAGAATTGCGAAGAAGATTTGTGTGTGTAGGTGCAAAATAGAAAGAGAAAAGACAAACAGATGTGGGTGTGACCTTTCATCGAAAGAAACCAACTTACCGAATTCCGGAACTTCTACGATCAAGTTGTTGAATGTGGTTGCCGTGTGAACATTCAATTCAAGGACTACAATAACTTGGTGCTGGTGACAAACGGGCAATTGTATTCCATAGGTTTCAGCTTTTCGTGTTCGAATTAATTCGTACAGAATTATTTACAAATTATCATTCAAGTGGATGCTTTTTGGAGAACGTGTTCCTACTACTGCCCGCAAGGCCCTTATTAGAAGTGCGCCACGCCGTGTAGTGCCGTTCATCAGCATGTCGAATATTCAGGAGCATACGACGAGCAGTGCCTACCACGAGCTTATGCAACTGTACGAACAGAAGGAGCTAATCCATCGACTTGTAACGAGTAACGGGAACTCGAATAGTACGGAGTCACAGGGAAAAATGATCGGTAACCTTGTGGATCGCCCCGATAGCTCAACAATTAGTCCGCCGCCGATGGCAACACTCGGTGAGAGCCTAACAAACTCCGATGACAAACCTATCGCGTTAAAGAAGATACCTTTTTCACTCCACTCACCTTCAGCTGTCACAGGCGGAAAGGAAAGCCTTGCACCCGTATCGCACAAGCTTGACAAACTCAATCACATCGCCTCAAACCTCGGCGGAAACAACAGGACTTCTCCGATACCCGGAAATAATCCGCATCAACATGTAACCGGTATAATAGCTTAACGCATTTACTTATATTTATTAATAACAAAGCATTGCAAGCCCGTGACGATATCACTTTAACGCTTTTGTTTTTTCTTTTTTCTCTGGCCATTAGCAAATACGTATAGATAAACCTGTATGAGGTCCTAGTTCTATCAGAATCATGCCTTCCATGTGCTGGAGGTGCAAGCGGACGTGCTTATGCAGAACTAGCTTCTTCTTAACACATAAGCATCGATCCTTAGGTAAACATACCGGATAGGGATTCGCTTTTTCTTGCTATCTGGTGTTCAGACTCGTGTCTCATGTTAGTTGTTCAGCCATATCTTAAGACGTCGTGTTAAAGCTGTTTGTAACGTCATCGTCTACAAACATATGCCCATTTGTAAGTACGGCAACAGGGGCGCAAAATTTGGTTTTGTACACCCCACATGCCTTTCATAGTATTAGAAGATCGAGCACATTGAACAATGAGGTGACGCTAGGTGACGCCTTAATCACTCGAATCGAGAAGCGTGTCCGCGCTGCCATCGGGGTGATTCAGGCCCATGTGCCGGACGCGTCTGTGTTGACAAACGAGTACTAGCAATCACATTATTGTGTATGGCTCTCTCGATTATACTATGTACCATTGTCGCCTCCTATTCCTTGTCGTTGGTTCTGCTAGTTTATCCTCACTTACCATTAATATTCCGTCGTGATGTTTATCTTGAAGTCTATGCCCCCAAAAATGTGGGTGTGCACATGGCGCCAGTCGTTTGATGACGTTGTTTATGGGCCAAGCCAATAGTTCGACTTCGCTTTCGACTTCTGACGCCTCACTCATGCGTAGCTTCGTTTAGCTAACTTGGCCTACCTTTATAGGCATGCATGTATATATTGGTAGATAAACGTTCTCCAGGAATGATTCAATTGCAGTATAACGCGCCGTCCTTCTTGGCCTCGAAGCATTTCACTTTTTGTTACGAAACTACTAACTGTCAAGAAGCCTAAAGAGCATTTTTGCGAGCTTGCTGTTTTCCTATATGGTGCGTACAAAAATTCAAAAACATAAATTGGTTTTGCTTCTTCCCAGCATTTCCCTCGTCTAGAGACGACCGAAGCAATTGACCACCATGAAGACGTCACTACATTCGTCTATGCCTTCGAAATACCTCTGTGCACCTTATCATTGCGTATATAACACATTTGAAAGGCTTGACCAAAACTCAAACAAATGAATGTCGCTGATCTGGCTCTCTCTAGACCTAACCTTAAATCCAGAGGAATATCATCGTTTGTCATCGACCTAATCCTATCCAAGCAGTGTTCACTTTTAACTAAGATTTCCTTAGAGTCTTGACGCAGAGTCACTAGTGACGCTACGGCTCAAACTGGAGACTCTGCCTTGTGGACCACAACAATGGATCAATCGTCTCAATATAGCTTCATTTATTTCAGTCTGCATCTTTTAATATGACACGATATCTATCGACTTACGGCTCGATAAACAGTGCATATGGTATCAAGCCACCGAAGAAAACGAGGAGGAACAGGCAACAGAAAGCTAACAATAACTAGGTGCGGCAGCTCAGTCAGATACAAACACACACATACATACACCTACCTATCCGCAGCCGATCACAGAGATGTACTCGATCCGCTGGTGTTAGCGGGGTCTGCATGTATTTGCGTCTTAGATGGGCTATGTCGGCCTCCTTGAGTGACATATTGATTTGAAACTGGTGCAGTGTATCGGACACGAGCCGATCCGAGAGGGATATAGGCTAAGATGTTGTACTACAGGGCCACGATAAATACAGTGCAGGCGATACTCTTCTGATCGGAGACCACATAGAGGAGTCGATTGATCGTAGATAGCTTTACATAGACATTGCAAATAGAAGTGTTAACTAGTCGGATATAGGAGGAGGTGGAGGACCTAGAGCCGAAGATGGGAATGTTTATTGAACGACGACCCATCGTTGTTGCAGTCGCTATCGAGCAGGGAATAACTGTGGATGTAGTGAATGAGGTACAGGACACACATTGAAGGCAGCAGGGTTGTGCAGTCTCGGCAGCCTCGAAGACAACCAGCTTCCCTGTCCAGCTGGAGGCGTGTGCGTTATAAACAGTTAGGCAAAATGAAACCACTTGATTTATTTCCGCTGTCGCTCGTATCGAACCGAGACGGCGACGGCTGTCATGAAGCGCCACGCGCGTATCATGCGAGGACAGACTCCAAGCTTACTGTGAGCAGAAATAACCAGGACACAGGCTGCTATGCTTGAAATTTTGTAAGCGATTTTCCATTCCATGACTTCTGCTGCGTCAATGTCCTGCACGCTTGAACTTTCCCCTTTTAAAGGTGTGAAGTATGGTCGCTTCCATTCGACTCAGCCTTAAGTAGTAGGATTCAGTTGAACACTACATTCACTTTCATCGTTCATGGGTCGTTTAAATTTATGAGCTATAATCAAAGTTAGTTCGAATGGCCGACCCTTCAATAACTGTTTGAGAGGTGAAGAGCAGTTCGAAAAAGTACAGGGCCTGGGCGACTCCGGGTAGACCTCACCTGGTAATCTTTGGGAAGACGCATAATAACAGTAGAGAACATGCCATACCACGGCGTATCTATCACAGAGCACACACTACACTTCGTGAAACCACGTAGAAACTTCTCACATATTAAGTATCGATCAAAATGCAAACGAATACGAACTGTCGCTTTTGTTGTTACGTCTGTTTATCGTGTTATTGTCGTTTCAACAGCAATCCCTAGGAGACGGGTAGCATCTTGTCACTACTACCACAGCTATTACTATTAATGCATACATATAAATCAATGGATTCATAACTTTGACCCTATCGTTTCATACCTACCCAGTGAGCATCTATAGCCATAAGGCCATCGAAAAGCGTGGCTTCATGGTGGTATGTCTTCAGCGATAAAGGTGAAAACTTCTCAGAGCCGTATAGTTCTGGATGTAGAACTGTAGTATAATAGGAACACAGTAGGAACCGTGATCGGTCCCAGGTAGACAACGTTCCACTGCCACCTTCTACAAGTCATCTGCGAGAAGTAGCCAGCACTGGCGTATACTGAGGTTCATAAGCAATAGCATTCATACAGAGCGGTCAAAAATCGCCTGCGTACGAATTTTCGAATCTGTGCCGTCGGAATAAATGATTGAATCCCCTGCCATCGCCCTATCTCCCAGATCGCGCGTACTTCAACAGCGACGACGTCTTAAAGTGATTCGTATAGCGTCTCCATTCGGGAGATTCGCTCGATTAAAGTCGTTCTCAGTGGCGAGTGCTCTACTCCAATTTACACTGAACATCTTTTACGCAAATTGAAACAGAGCGAAAGACAACGTTTACAGTGCTTCAGGTCACCATCGACGTCCGCAGCAGCGGCAACAACGCCGATTTGACTGGCGGCTTTCACAGTAGAATGGAGACCATACACAATCGAGACAGAACAATAAGTGAAGTACATCGAAAAAAAGAATTCTAAACGGCATGAGTTCACCGAACAGCGGACCACCTCCGTATCATTTTCCATCCATGTGAGTTCATACACATGTGTGCGAATATGGTTCTCCCTGTCTTAATCTCAATGCGAGTCTCTGGCTGTGTTTTGACTCGTCGATTCGATCTAGCGGTTGCTCTCTCTCTATCTATCTGCAAAAGCTGTGAAGTCTCAGACAGGCCAGCGTGTCCTAGCCCACCCCCGATTTTCGAGCCAGTTGGGACGTTTACATACAGCCTGTGCGTACACTTCGTTCCGCTTCTATCGAAGTGACCAGTGATCGGGGCTAGGCATCTCCCTCGATTTCTTTCACCCTCCACGAAAACTACACATGTCGATTCGGACGCCGCTGGGACGCCGAACAAAGCGCAAAGATGAACTAGAGAAAACAGGACCGCATTACCGACTGGTTCCTGGAGGGTCGTTTATGAACGCTAAATGAAGACCTCCGAAGGTACGCAGGCCAATCGACTTCAGGGCGGTCGCGCACTTCGCCACCGCACACTCATAGATTGTCTGCTTTTGTGTGTCTCTGTGAGAATGTACCAGTTCAGGTCTTCACAAGCGCCTGCATTTCTTGTTTGCCCTTCTGTTTCGTTTGCTGTTTGGTTTGTTTACGCTGTTGGTGCGTGGGGACGCGCAGAAGATTTTTGCGAGATAGACTAGACGAGTATACAAACGACAATGTTGAATGACTATTACAACAAATGCAGGAGTTCACAGTGGCAGCAGCATCGTCACTATTGCCATAACCAATAGCGGTATCTGATAAGCGAGCTATCTCAAACGAATGCAATATCCGTACTACTATAGAACAGGCCACAAATCTCTCTTAGCTTGTTACAGTTAAGGAAGTCTGAGAGGGTAGTGCATGACATTATTTTTCGGTCAGCATTTGACTTAAAGCTCGTGCCTGTGTACATGACTGTGTATTTACATTTACTGTACATTTAATATATGAAACTGTAGGATCACCTCAAGAACCGAAGCGTAATGCTCGCGGCCGCGTCCTTATGCCCATTAACAAACACACCCGATTGAACCATATGTAACACATTTATATATATATATATATATAAATATATAAAGCATTTGATATCCTGCTGATACGACTCACGGTACGATCGAGTTAGCTTTAAATATTCCATTTACATCTTCGAATAATTCTAAATTGGGATGCCATTTTGCATTCGGCCACTGTCCGGTTAATTCCCTAAGTCAGCGCAGGAGTAAATTGTATTATATTGTTATGTTTTCCTTTGTCCGTATAATTTCGCTCTATAGCAAACCTATACAGACATATATACGTATGTTTATAAGTACACTTGAACTAAGTCGCTGTATCATGCTACGGTGCGCTGAACGCGGCAGCGTCTTTCAAGTAAAAAGCCCATCGAACGCCCCGCTCGAACCCGTTTCCCCAGAGAGCACTGCCACGGTTTTAAGCTAATTCGGTAGTTGTTACTGTTCGGCGAGTTCGGCTCCCTGATGTC